TTTGACTCCCTCAACTGTGACCCGAGTATGATTCATGACCTCCAACCACAAAACCGGATATATCGACTCCTCCAACTATCAAAACCGATGCAAACTAATCCTTAGGTGGTTTTGGAAGCGGTTTTGGCTGACATTGCGCCCACGTGGTAGTGTTGACCCGGTCTTCATTCCACGTGTCTTCAACGTGTCGCTTATGTGGCATTAGAGTAAAAAAATTTGTGGGACCGCCATGTCATTCACACAAAAAAAAATAGTGGGACCCACCGACATGTGGCCCCACATTTCATCCTCACCTCTCCCCGCTCTCTCTCTCTCTCTCTCTCTCTCATTTTTTCCTTTCCTCTCACCTTCCATCAGCCAGCCGAAGCACGAAGCATGAAGGGCAGAGGTGACAATGGCCGGCGGAAGCACGAATCACAAGCTCCTAACTGAAGCCGCAGTTGGGGGAGGGAGGAGGAAGAAGGCGGCGGCGCGTGGACGACCGGCGAGCTACTTAGCTTATCTGAGACCATATCCGGAACAGTGAAAGCATATGCAAGCATGCATATCCATCGATCGATCGATATATAAGTATGCCCAAATTAAAGCACAGCTATCTCCTCCCCCAGCGCACGGACGGCCGGCGAGCTCTACCCCCGCGCAGGACACCGGCGAGCTCCTCCCCGGCGTGCGGACCGCCGGCGAGCTCCTCCCCAGGCGCACGGACTGCCGGCGAGATCCACCCGGCGCGCCGACGCTGACGAGCTCCTTCCCGGCGCGCGGACGGCCAGTGAGCTCCTCCCCGGCGCGCGGACTGCCGGTGAGCTCCTTCCCAGGCGCGCGGACGGCCGGCGAGCTCCACCCCCGCGTGCGGACGCTGGCGAGCTCCCCCGTGGTGCGCGGATGGCTGGCGAGCTCCACACCCGCGCACGGGGTGCGCGGATGGCATGCGAGCTTCTCCCCCGCGCGCGGACCGCCAGAGAGTTCGCGGGACGGCCGGCGAGCTCCTCCCCCGCGCACGGATGCCGGCGAGCTCCTCTCCCTGCACACGGACGGCCGGCGCACTCCTCTCCATGCGCCGTCACCGTCGCCGCCGCCCCCGCCCCGCCTCTAGTGTTTGAAGGTGAGAGGAGTGGAAAAGATGAAAGAGAGAGAGGGAGGAGAGGTGAGGATGACATGTGGGGCCCATATGTCCGTGGGTCCCACAATTTCCTTTTTGTGTGAATGACATGTCGGTCCCACATTTTTTTAATTACTCTTGTGCCATATAAGTGACACGTCGACGACACGCGGGACAAAGACTGGGTCAACACCACCACGTGGGCACCACATCAGCCAAAACCGCTTCCAAACCATCTAGGGATATAGTTTGCATCGGTTTTAATATTTGGAGGATACAATATATCCGGTTTTGTGGTTGGAGGTCATGAATCATACTCGGACCATAGTTGAGGGAGTCCAAGTATACTTTTTCCTAGTTTAGTTGATCACACAATCTTTATTACTGTATCGGCCCATCACAGTGATGGGCCTTCGTAAAGTTCGCGCAAATATAGGCCCTGAATCTCCTCTCGGGTGCCGGTGGCCGTTGCAAATTTTGCAGCAGGCCGTCAGCCTACGTGCGCGAACTGTGGCCCATCAGACGTACTAGCGCTTGCTGGGCTTTGATCTGGACGGTGATGGCCTTTTGTGCTCGACACGGCACCGCGTTCTCTATGAAGCCAACGAATGCACTTTGCGATAGTGTTTTCTTAATCTCTGTACGAGTCTAAACAGTTCGCATTTGGAATCGTAGGAGGTTAATTATTTAGTATATCACCTATGTAACTAGATAAGAACGATGGAGGAAAGCATGGAGCATCAGGGCATCAATTTTTACAGAAGTTAAATATCTGCAGTTCCTTCTACCTTTTGGAATTGATTTATGCTCCTTTGTCCCCCAGCTTTCTCTTAAGATTCCACCACCACCGCTTGTTGATTAACCTTCTTTACTTAAAGCCTATCGCCTTTTACGAATTTTTATAATGTTTATTCATCACTAATGATCAAGATCGTAGATATATCTCCTAACGACACAACTACAGATGAGGAGAAATTGAACACATGAATAATGCCCCATGGGCGCCCAAGAGGCAAATGTGTAAGTTTTAGAATGAAACCTATAATTTTCTCACAACTATATATACGTACCTGCTTTAAAACTTTAGTGAAAAAAATAATGTCCCTCCCTGCACATATATAAGGATGAGCAGTGAATAAACAAACTGCATTAGTTTGTGGTTTTTGGTTTAAATGCGACAAGCATGCATGCACAAATATAGAACAGATCGATGCTAATTAAAGATGGCCTAAATCATCACATGGATCATAGCCACATCTTCTCTGTCGAGCAAAGCTTATTAGCTTAAATCCTTTTTTCCTTGCCGATACATGAAGAACGCGCGATTAAATGAAAGCATATGAATTAGAGAACGGAATTACAGCCTCTAGCGAACTCTATAAATATTGTCTTGTGATGGGTAGCTTTAGTTTTCAAAAAAGGAAAAGGTCCAAATATATGTCCTGAACTTTTGGACGAAGGTCTCTATAGTATCCTGATCCAACCCTATAAACTTTGTCATATCATCAATATTATCCCTAATTAAGATGGTTTTTGATCGTAGTTTTATATATTTTGGAAACGTAAATGAATAACTTTGAATAACTAATATAACATATTTGCATATGATCAATTGTTAATCTATCAATTTATCCTTATTCATATATATTATTATTATGTTGCTACTTGTTTATAAGTAAGAGTTAATAAAGATCTAACTTACATACAACTTAGATAAAAAAATTAGATAAAAGAGTAAAGTGCATTGGCGGTCTTTAAACTCTTAAAATACATATAGGTCCCTAAACTCTTAAAATATATATCCAGATCATAGAACTTATCAAAGTGTATAAAAAAACCAGTATGCAAAACCACTTTTGGAGGTTATATAGACGGTATTGTACGGTTTAGGAGGTGAATTGAATATTCGCTTTTAAAGTTTAGGGTGGTAGATGGATTTCCTTTCGAAGTCTAAGGGGTCGTTATTTGGACTTTCTCCTTCAGAAATAGATGGATAACTTTGGTACTATTTGCAGTGCGGTGCCTAACATCCAGAGAAATGAACAATTAATTAATGGATCAATTCACCAGTAAATTAATACGCTAGTGATACCTATATAATTGTAAATATGTAGTACTCAATGACAATTAGTAAAAAGAACAGCTAGTGGGGATTAAATTAATCAGGGCATTGGTTCTGTTATATATACTGAACTGAGCAGACAGACAGATATATGGGCTTAATTTGCTTTCTCCTCGTAAGGATGGTTAGCTTTTCTGATTGATTCTGATTTCTGAGCTGCATGTCGCTTTCCTTCTGAACGTGCGCACTCCACATTTACCGAACCGCGACTTGGGAGAACTTAGGCCCCCTAATCGAATCTGCTAATTGACTGCGTAATTAGTTAATTCGTGATACTACTTAAGTAGCACACAATAGTAGGATATAATGCATTCAGCTTTTGGAAATTTCTGCCGCAATGCATGCAGCTAGCTAATTAACCAACAGGAGTTCGTCTGTTCGTCTTTGCCCAACAACTGGAGGAATCTACGGGCAACTAAAATTGATTTAAATACAATTGATTCATGCTTTTTCTGCTGCTTTCTTGACTCTGTCTCCTGCACCGCATGCTGCAGAGAGTTGCAGACTGGATCGAGAAGCTGTTTCTTTTTATTTCACCAGCTTAATTTCAACGCCGGAGTTTCAAGTTTGAACAATATACTTATATGCTAGCTGGTTTTCCATGCATCTTCTTGTTCTTCTTGAATTTACAAGTGTCTGTGCCGTTCAAATTGACTCACAAGTCACAACTACTCTCTCCGTTTCACAATTTAAGACATTCTAGCATTTCCCACATTCATATTGAAGTTAATGAATCTAGACATATATATCTACCTAGATCCATTAACATCAATATGAATATGAGAAATGCTAGAATGACTTACATTGTGAAACGGAGAAAGCACTTACCTATCAAGTCCCCTCAATGCACTAGCCAACTGTCAGATTCAGAAACTGGACCTATATAAGTTGTCATTCCAGCCTACTCTCTCTGTCCCAAAATAACTCTTTGTCCAGATTCGTTGTCATAGAATAGGTCATATCCCATCCTAGAGAGTAATAAATACTCCCTCCATTTTATATTATAAACTGATTTAACTTTTTTCTAGTCAAACTTTATATTTTAATCAAGTTTATAGAAAAATATAATAATATTTTTAATATAAAATAAATATATTATTAAAAATATATTCAGTGTAACTTTTATTAAAACTAACTTAGTATTATAGGTACTGCTAAATTTTTCTATAAATTTGGTTAAACAAAAAAATTAACTATAAAAAAAATCAAAGTATTATAATAAAATCGAGATAGTAGTTTATACTCTATACTTCCACAACTCGATCTTTGCACGCTTCCTGTTTTGCCGCCACCGTGTGGTCCTGATGCTCAATATATATACCACTATACAAAATACAGTTGCGTGTGCTTTAAATTAAACACGTGCGATTACATACATTGATCCGTTTTCCATGAATGAACCATCTAATTAATTTCAATCGACACCTAGAAACCTCGATTCTATACTTCTCCTTTCGTTTGATTGATTGCTTCATTAGTCTTCATCTACACTTGATCACATCTCCAAGCAATAATAATCACCGGAGGTGAATTAATTAAACAAAATGGAGCAGGATTACACGCTCCGGCCAGCCAATGGCCAGTCAAAAAGAGAGCAAATTAGAGGGGATGGATCCTGCAGTTAATCATACAAAGCGGCTGCCTAACCACGCGCACGCGTCCATGTCGCCTTCCGTACCAGAACCCTAATTGAATATATTTGAATTAATACTACTCCACACCTTGACGCCCGCTATAAATACGCCATGGCCTCGCCGTGTCCCCTCGCAACCAACCAAACAAGGTTAGTGCAGCTAGATTGTGCCTGTGATGGGGAGAGGGAAGAAGAGGTCGGTGTTTGCGTTCTTGTTCGGGTTCAAGAGCAACGGTGATGGCGACGGTGGAAGGCGGGATGAGGCGGCGGCGAGGGAGCAGCAGGGGTACTACGGCCACCAGCAGCATCCATGGGGGAGGACGACGACGAAGACGAAGGTGTGGCCGAGCGACTACGATGACGACAACTACTACGGGCGGCAGTGGTACGCCGAGCGTGACATCGACCGGAGGGCCTCCGAGTTCATCGATAGGGTGCACCGCGGGATGCTCGCCGGCGCCGGCGGCGAGTAAGACGGATAGCTGGCCGGCTGGCCGGCGTGCTTAGTCCTACATGATTGTTCTTAATTTGATTAATCTAGCTAGTGTGGAATGCCACACATTATTAGCGTCAGATGATTGCACGTTTGTTTACTGTCAAGCTTGGATTGTTTTTTTTGTTGTTACTGTAGTAGTGTTGTACACTTGTTCTATAGGAAAGTATCATTGGTAAGATTTTTGAGTAACTGTAATTTTTGTGAGATTGTAATATAAAGAAGGTATATATCGAGTTGAGTTCTGTTTATCGAGTAAGCATCTCCACTCCATCTGTATTTTAATGTTGTGTTTACCATACTTCCAGCTTATGTAGGCCTTAAAGTATGAAATAAGAAATCATATGATGTGGAATCACCCCTGATATAATCCAAGGAATGCAGAGTCGTAAACATACTATAGTACCTCATTGATAATCACGTGCTCTTATGTTTTTAGTGGTGGATTCAGCGATACTATCGAGCCCGAACGCATTTTTCAATGATTAACCGATTTTTACGAACATCGACGTGGTCCGTAGTGGAAGTGGCAGTGGAGCCCGGACAAGCCCGGGAGCCGCTTGCTCCCTCCGTCCCGAAAAAAATGAATTTAGGACTGAAAGTGACATATTCTAGTACAAAAAATTTGAATAGAGATACTATTAGGATATATCATATCCAGTACTAGATTGGTTTTATATGGGACGGAGAGAGTATCTACGACCAGTGTGGGTTTTTTGATGTCCGCGAGATTGCATTGTGCCGGTTAGGCGTTTAGATGATGCCTCCAATCACAACATGCTAATAATCAATTTGCCATTAATTTTTCTCTACTTGATCGATGTGTAGAATTCTTATGGGCTCCGGCCGGCCGGAGGATTTCAGCACGGCCAATAATTCATCTGGCCAATATTCCAAACCTGCCTACCTCCGTCCCAAAAAGGACAAACCCTAGGTTTCTGTGTTCAACTTTAACTATTTGTCTTATATGAAATTTTTTATAATTCGTATTTTTATTATTGTTAGATGACAAAACATTGATTAATATTTTATGCGTGACTTGTCTTTTTAATTTTTTTCATAATTTTTTTAAATAAGACGGACGGTCAAACATTAGACACGGAAATGAGGGTTTGTTTTTTTTTTTTGGACGGAGGGAGTACAGTGTAATCGATCAAACTCTAGTCAAGGTATTCATGTTCTGGGACAGAATCAGTCAATCAGACAGCATGAAAAGAATTCGATAGCTGGGTTGTACTGTCGTACGTCGTCGATCTGTTGCTCGTTTTGCCGTGACTGTTTCTCATTTTGCCAGGCTGCCAGCCTAGCTTCTTGTTCACGGTCACGGGTGCCACCGCCAGTGAGTACTGCTGAGTCGCCCAGCTGGTCTCACTCAAACATTACGGCACGTTGACATGGCCGTAGTCTCGTACTACCTCCTTTTTTAATACCATGGCACGGTTGACCTTATAACAAACATTTTGACTATATTCGTTTCGTTCAAACTTTTGTATAAATATAAAAGTATTTTAAGTCATGATTAAAAATCATTTCATAATAAATCAAGTCACAATAAATGATAATTATATAAATTTTTTAATAAGACGAATAGTTAAACATATTTTACAAGTGTCATATATTAAAAACCGAAAGGAGTACGTCCGTGCCTAACTAATTAACCATGCTTTCCTGATTTGTCAAGGCGAAGAATTGTGCTATCCATACCTACATTGACCGGCTGTTGAATGGGCTTGCTGTTCAGTGGAAGGAATATAATATACATACTCACGGATACTATAGATGAAAATAAGAGATGACTATCGTTAAGACGAGAAAGTGTCGGTAAATAAATTAAATAAAAAAGATTAATAGATTAAAATAAAAAATATGTAGATAGTTGATATATTTAAGAAAAACTTTAGTTATGCACCGTTGCTAGATGCTTAATATCGTACGTTCCCTTGTTTCCATGCATGCATGCAAGCACGGTAGGGCCCTAAAAAATCTCTCTTCTTTATAAAGTATACTAGGACCCAAAACGAGATATATTAGCGATGAGCATATATGTGTACGTGCTCGAGATGGTGTGAGAGATTCGAACGTCAAATCAAGCCTTTGATTAATGTTAATCCGAATCAAAAAGCCTTTTTCTTATCGATAAGCATGATTCGGAAGTGATACCAAGCAATTCACGAATAGACAACTTAATTTCAAAACATTCCCTCCATCTTAACCAAAAAAACAACTGTAGCATTCAAAAGATACTAGGACCCAAAACGAGATAGTAGCGGTGAGCATATATGTGTGCGTGCTCGATTACATACATTGATCCTTTTTGACGCAGATGCTATAAATACTCCATGGCTTCACCGTGTCCCCTTACAACCAACCACACAAATCTTTTTTCTGATCAAGAATTGAGCTAAGATTGTGTTTGTGATGCCTGAGATGGGGAGAGAGAAGAAGAGGTCGGTGTTTGCGTTCTTGTTCCGGTTCAAGAGCAACGGCGGTAGCGGCGGCGGCAGTTTTCATCGAGGATTAAATGTTTTATTTTATCTAAGAATTTCTATGATTTTCTTTAATTTATTATAGCGCTACGTAGCAACGTAGAAGCGTTTGTAGAGTGATACATGGTGATGTGAGAGTGTTTGTAGGAAATTTAATGGACAAAGTATAACAAAATAAATGATAATTACATATTTCTTTAGTAAGTAAACATATGTTCAAACGTCAATAATAATATTATGGAGGTATATTAAGTAAAGCAAAATAATAAAAGAAGGTGAATAAGAAAAGGAAAAAAGTGTGGGGGGTATGTACGTTCGTACTTGTAAGTTCGTACTTGCAGGCGGTGAGAGAGGCATACGTATGAGGGTTTATTTTTAATCTAATCTAATGGTGCAAGATTATGGACCCACCAATTTAAATGAAAATCGAGGGTCAGATGTTTTTAATATATTAAAACGCCACATGGCGACTTAGGAGCGTTTATAGGATTGCTACATGGCGGTTTAGAAACATTTGTAGGAAGTTTAATGGATTTTTAGTATATAATAATAGATATTGGGCCATCCATATTAGCCACATAGCATGTAGAACGATCGACATCTGATCTTCCGATTAACACCATCACTAGAGTTGGGCAGTTCTTATTCAATAGTTTGATGCTCTCATAGCCACCAAGACCGACGTGTCAATTGTCATGCGTGTAGTTGCGCCAGCACCACTACGTCAATATGCTATTTGTTAGTCTGCCCTTTGCTACGGACCTGCGGTAGTGCAGTACCTGGCCACTGTCCTATTGTGCCCAGTGCGTCTCTGGCTCTCCTTCCCTATATGGTTTCCACAAGCTGTGGAGATGGAGTGATAATCTAAATTTTAAGGAACCTGTGTTGCAGTTGGATATGGGCGTGGTTGTAGCCGTGGATCTGATTCACATTCAATGACCGAGCCTACAAAAGTTGCCACCGATGGCCGAGGGCAAGGAAGACAATTAAGGTTGTGTTTGACAGCCTGTGTTCCCAACTCATCTCTCTCGTGTTTCACACGCACGTTTTTCAAACGGCTAAACAGTACTCCCTTCATCTATTTTTAATAGTCATATTTCCAAATCTGAAAAATTTTATTTTTGATAGATATATTTCAATCCAACAACCTATCATCTTAATAGTTTTCTTGGATTTAATGCGTGACTCTCCATTCTTCCACACATGATTGGCTACATGGGTATTGAGAAATGCAAATATTAATAAATCGCTTGTTTATAAGGAATGACTAGTAGCATGTTTAAATGGATGATAAGTAAAATTACTTATCCTTGGTCTATGTGCCAAGATAAAATATGACTATCAAAAGTAGATGGAGAGAGTATGTTTTTTTTTCCAAAAAGCTTCTATACGAAAGTATATTAAAGAAATCATATTGATCTTTTTTTAAAAAAAATGCTAATACTTAATTAATCACATGCTAATGGACCGCTCCGTTTTCCGTGCACAACAGATTTGTTCCCATCTCCTTCTAACAAACTCAGCCAAAGTGTGAATGCCATGCCTAATAGGAAAGTATCATTGGCAATATTTTTGAGTAACTATATTTTTGTGAGATTGTAATGTAAAGATATACATCAACTTGAGTTTTGAGTTCTGAGCAAGCATCTCCACTCCATATGTATATTTTAATATTGTGTTTGACATACTTTCTGCTTATGTAACCCTTAAAGTATGAAATAAGAAATCATGTGATACGGAATCACCCCTGATCAACTCCAAGGAATGTAGAGTCGTAAACATACCGTAGTACCTTATTGATAATCACGTGCTCTTATATATGTTTTTAGTGGTGAATTCAGCGTTACTATCGACCCCGAACGTATTTTGTTGTAAAATCAGTCCCGAAATCATCATCGATAGCTAAACGCGGACAGAAAACGCCATAGGAGATCCAAAACGATGACGACACCGAGACACGATATTTGGTAATAGAGTTCAGCCGTAGCTTACATCTCCGGGGCACTGATTACGGGCGCTCCTCCCTGATCCAACATATACAGCGTATCAGAGTTACAACGACTCACGGCCGGTCGACGCGGGCAGCCGCTTCCTCTGGCTATGCTAAGTCGCCATGCGGTTACAACAGGCATGCCCCTCTATTTATGAGAGATCCTAGGATAGAGTCCGACTCATACTCTAGTCCTAATACATATTACAACTCCATGTTCTAAACTGTAACCGACTACGTACACATATTCGACACAAACTCTAACATATTTTTCAGTGATCAATTGGTTTTTACGAACATTGACATGGTCCGTAGTGGAAGTGGCAGCAGTGGAGCCCGGACAGTACCGGGAGCCGCCTCCTCCTCCACTGTGGATTTTTGTGATGACCGAGATTGAGATCGTGCCGGTTAGGTGTTTAATTAGATGGTGATGCCTCCGATCACAACATGCTGGAGTATTAATCAATTTGCTATTTTTCTCTACTAGATCATGTGTAGAATTCTTATGGGCTCCGGAGGATTTCAGCACGCACTACTACACAATAGATTTTCCTGGACACCGCCCTCTTTTGTTTCCATATGGTCCATAAGTGGAACCGCATAGGAAAATAGAGGGGACCAGCGCTGGTTTGTCGCCCGCATGGGAAAATGTATTTTCCTGTGCGGACGTCTTAATCCGACCGCACAGGATAAGACGACCGCACAGGATAATCCTCATTATCCCGTGCAGTCGACTTAAAAGGACCGCACGGAAAAATCGATTTTCGCGTACGGGCTTTTTAAGTGGACCACATAGAAAAATACCTCCTCCTTTCCCTCCCACCCACTTTAATTTTTTCACATCCTCTC